AGCTCCAGTTAGACAACGTGGATTTTCTGGAGGACAAGAACTTGTTCTTTTCTGGAGGACAAGATTTTCCCAGCATAGCAGGTAAAACCCCAAATTCAGACTTGCAAAATTCAGAGACAGAAACTCCACCTTGCTTTGATCCAAATTCTTCAGAATTATGCCAGGAAATCCCAGCAGAAACAAATGCCCCACTAGTGCTGTGGGACACCTCCAGTCTCTCGCTTCTTGCTGGACAGGATGAGATTAATATTAGAGACCCAGAAGGGACTGAGAGCTGTGCGCTGCTGCAGCAGTTGGCTCCACAGTGCCAGGCTCCAAAGGCTGTGGAAGATACATTTGGATTGGGTCTCAGTGCTGAAGGCTTAACAAACAATTGTCTCTCTATGCAGGAAGACAATTTTCCCCCAGTGTACATGTTCACCAGCCATGCTTCTGAAACCTTTAATCAGGGTGTCTTTGATCCTTTCAATGTTGATTCAACCAAAATGGGCCAGGAGGCTCCTGAAAAAATGAACAGGAGCAGAAAAACATCAGGAGTTGAAGAAGATTATGAAAGTCTCTCTTCTGCAGACCTGAATGTGTTAAATGATGGCCTTTTAGACCAGGAGTTCTTTATATAGTTGAAAAAAAGAAGATTACAAAAAGCACCTACCCCTGCAGCACAAGTTAGCTGATATGGGACAAAAATTGATTCATTAAATCAGTTTAGAAATCCCCCACTCCTCTAGCACGAGAAAAATTCAGTTGTGCATAGGCTGATTTATTAATGGCTTAAGGAGCTAAATTTAAGGTCTCTATCCTGGTCATAGTGGGTCAGTTCTCAGTTCCCAAAAAAGAACATTGCAAGAACTGACTTCACTGTGAGGAACCTCCAAGGAAAGACCAACCAACACCCTGTTCTCTGCAGCCAGAGGTCTTCTGCAGAGGGGATCTTCTGCACAATCTACTGCCGAGGTCCCTCAGAGGATGTCTGCATGGCCACTGTCTGCATGGCAGAGGGGAGATGGACCTCCAAAGAGGTCCAACTAGCAAGCAGCCATGAGCAACAAGCTAATCAGGAACTAGAAACTCAAATGAGAAGAGAATGCCATCATCAGGAAGGAACCGAATCCTTGGCCACAAGTGCACAAGTAAAATGCAACGGGCAAAGGCAAAGCTGAGGCGGGCAGGGTGAAGATTTGTCTCAAATTAGGTTTAGGTGTCTGCAATATTAGCGTTTCAATGTAAACCAGATGCTTAAGCCCACATCAATGGAGAATTAGTAAGTACAGCCTGGGGAGTGATTCAGCCCACCCTAAAAGAGACAACTGCATTCAAAAAGCTAACAGCTCTCTGGACTCTATTAGCTGTGTCGCTCCATCTCCACTAACTAGAGTGCAACCTTAGGTATCTATTTCACATATAGACAACTACATTTAGACATCTAGAGATTAATCCAACCCAAAACATCACACACCTTTTCACCATACGGCTTGCCTACATGTAATAACAATGATATCTCACTCCCCTCATTATATTTTTCCTTCAGTAGACTGCAAAATTGCTTCACATAGGAGGTCGCCATCATTAGCCTCATTGTACAATGATGAGCAAAGATAAGTGAAATGACCTTGCCAAGGTCACCTGGTCAGAATGGCAGAGTTGGAAAGGGAACCCAGGTCTCTTGAAGTCTTGGGGCGTGGGGACATTGTTACATCCGCTCTCCCTGTGCGGTTACACTCTGACCCTCCCTGACTGCCCTTTGCTGTGATAACATAAATGTTATAGGAGTTAACAATTAGACTAATGATAAACAACCTCACCAGAAACCTCAGAGGGTCAAAGCAAGAACACGTGTATTATGAAAAGGATTGTGGAGCGTATCACTTCACCTGTTTTAATCAGCTGTCTGTAAAAAAAAAAAAAGGATGAAGGTGTTAAAATAATTAATTTTTAAAATAATAAAAACCAATCTCCCTGATTCACCAGTGCCGAAATAACCCTGGCTCTGTCAGAACTGCTGGAGGAATAAAGCTGCTTGATGACTGCATCTGCTGCAAAGCCGGTGCACTGTGCAGGGAGAGTGTTCAATCTTCAATCATCAGGGAAAAGAGAGATGTCCTCCAAAGTTACATGACTCATTAGATGTTGAAGTCGGTCTCACCTTGGGATGGGGCAAGAGACTTGGGACAGAGGTGCTGCCATCTCACAGCTAATTAATTTTTAAAATAATAAAAACCAATCTCCCTGATTCACCAGTGCCGAAATAACCCTGGCTCTGTCAGAACTGCTGGAGGAATAAAGCTGCTTGATGACTGCATCTGCTGCAAAGCAGTGTGTCAGTGCACTGTGCAGGGAGAGTGTTCAATCAACATGAATCAGGGAAAAGAGAGATGTCCTCCAAAGTTACATGACTCATTAGATGTTGAAGTCGGTCTCACCTTGGGATGGGGCAAGAGACTTGGGACAGAGGTGCTGCCATCTCACAGCCCTGCCTGAAACCTGGTCAAGCTGTGTTTAGAGATGGAGAAATGAGACCTAAAGGCTTGCAGTGATCGAGCACTGAAGCGGTGGGAAGGGGGTGGCCTGTTATCCGTGCCAAAGATGCTCTGAGTGACACCCCAGACCAAGTTGTCACTAGCACATGACATCCATAAACCTGACCTCTCCCTGCCAGCACTAAGAGGAAGAGGGAAAATGCAGGAGCACCACAGCTGGTGGGTATGAATCCGTCCTGGCCACAATTCACACCAACATATAGGTGTCCAAATGGGTCTCCAATCACAGTCACTCCTGATGTTCAGAGCTGTGTAAGAGAAAAGCCAAGTCCATGAATTAGTGCATCAATGCCCTACTGCCCGCACCAGCCTTCCTCCAGAGGCAATGGTTTTTCTTTCTGAACTACTCTCTTGGATGCTCCCTCTCCCTTCCCCTAGTCCTTCACATTTGTGCAAGGATGCACAGGCTTTCCAGTCGTCCATCCCAGGTCTTCCCAGAGACCTGCTGACTTCTCATGCCCTCTGATAGAGGCTTTTCCATTTTCAAGAGGCTTTGCAAGCATTAGTAATCCACCTGGGCAAAACTGTCAGATAGAGAGAAATAAGCACAAAAACTCCAGCAGTAGGGCTCCAGGAAACAGAGGTCTGCAGGGCTGGCCCAGCCTTTGTCCCTGGGAGATCTCCACTATGCAGGATTGACCCACTCAGCCCCAGATGATGAAGACAGTCATAAGAACAATGTCTTTCTATGAGAAATGTCATCTTAGGGTGATGAGTTTACAAGGGACTGAAGCTTTCCCAGTGCTTCAGAAGAGCCTGTCTGGTGACATTAGGAAAAGCAGCCTCAAAAAGTCACATCTGCATTAGTGCATGAGACTGCAGTCATGTCTGGGTCACCCCCAAGGAATTTTTACAGTCAAAATCTGACCTCTTTGCCACAGGAGATGCTGGTGGCTGAGGAGTGGGAGGGAAGACCATGAGCCACACACAATAGGGTAAGCTTGAAGACTTCAGCTTGTTGCACACTGATGGAAAAGTCACCTACTCCCTGTTCAGCAGGACAGAGTCAAAATGCCTCTGCCACAGCGGATCTCCTTGGCCAAGTCATCCCACAACATGGCCAGAGATGGATTTAGGGTAAAAGGAGCCTCTGGAGGTTGCTTAGCTGAACCTTCTGTTCAAGGCATGTCTCCGAATAACAGCAAGTCCTCTCATCCGAGGATGTGGATCCAGAGCCCAGTGATATGTTTGGCTGTGTGGTGCGTGCACGATACATGCACATCACTGGTGCGAATTTACAAAACTCTAAGTAACGTTTACTTCCTCTCTTCCTTTACTCCCAATAGCATTAACCAGTATGACCTCTCTCTCCCACCCCAGCTTAGGGGGTGATGTTTTATGATCCTGTCTTCTAACCCTCTTCCCACTTCCATAAGCATGCCAGTGCCACACCCACTCATGAAACACCAACCCCGACTTGTGTGATCCTTCAGTAAGTTTGCTGGAGGCTCAGATGTACTATCTGGGTTGAGAGTGAAGGACAAAGAATTTGAGAGGAGACATGAAGTGAGCAGGTCAGTGTCTAGTGACCTGTCCTTATCGCTCTGGTGAAAGCAGCCAGGAGACCTTTGCCAAATTACACACCGAATTTCATACGCTAAGGGCAATCCAGCTTTCCAGTTTCCAGGAATAAAGATACAAACCACTCAGGGAGTCTGTCCAGGAAGCAGCTCAGGCGTGCAGCAGAAATCAGGTCAATCTGCTTTTCAAGTGACATCAGAACCTCGGGCAAAGCCAAGCTGGTGTCGTTTCTTATCCCAAATCCTGTGTGCTCTGTATGCCTGTGTGCATAACATGCTATGTTTCTTTTAAGGGTAATCTCTAAGCCAAATCTATTTTAGGATTCTCCCCAAGACACTGTAGTTTAGACCTAGTTTTATGACTAACCAGGGTTCCTACATGGGGCAAATGAAAACCCACAGCTTGGGACACAGCTGTCAAGACCAAGTCTACTTGACTACCAGCCATATTTCCTGGTCCAGAGGAGAAGTGCTTTTCTGCTTCTCTTTCCTATAGTCTCCAGGATGGGCTATATATCCATTAAGCCATTAATGAGAGCCACAGATTTACTCTGTTTGCTTCACCACACTTAGGAAAATTAGACCTCATTTGCAGAGTCACAACTTCATGTCTCGGACAAAAACCTTGTGCTGCAGCACAGTTGCCTTCAGGAGGCCTGGGGAGAAACTCCGGGCTGGGACAAGACAAGCTGTCCCCGTGCTGTCCCCAAGAGTGGCAATGCTCTGGCACCTTTGTTCTGGGCCCAAGAACAGGGAGGGAATGGCTGGTGACAAAGTACACCCTGGAGGACTGCAGTATATCACCGTAATGGACGAACGTGCTGATACAAGTGCTCATTTTACCACACCTGATTAGGGGTTTAGTGCTCACATAGTTTAAACATTAATATTTACCTATTTAAGCAATGTGCCCTAGTGCAGCCTGGCCATAGCGATAGTCACCATGACTGAGTTTGGAGATTTTATAAGTGCTCTGGGGGAGTTTGGGCTATATCAGAAATTGCTGGTACTGTTCCTCTCCCTCCCACTACTTCTTAGTCCTTTCCAAATGATTGGCCAAGTGTTCATGGTTGTGGATGTGCCTCATCACTGCGACACCAGCTGGATCCGTGCCGTCGGCCCCAACCTGACGGAGGAAGAGCAGCTGAACCTCACCCTGCCCCGGGACATGGACGGGGCGTACGAGCAGTGCTCCATGTACTCGCCGGTGGACTGGGACCTCGGCTCCATCGTGGCGTACGGCCTGAACACAACAGAGAAATGCAGCAGTGGTTGGGTGTACCCCTCAACACAACCACCATCCCTGCTGACCGAGGTCTGTAATCGCCTTTTAACATGCTGGGGACATGGAAGGGAAGGGATGGGCGTACCCTGTCCTGTAGTTTGGTAACTAGCTGTGGTGCAGTCAGGCTGAGATTTACACCAGGTACTGGGGGACCTTGGCTCCATCACACAGATCGCAGCCGTAATCCCTGGGAAGTTGTTGCAGGAAGACCATGATGTAGACGCCCGGGGGGGCACAGGCAGAGACGGTGGAGGTGTGAGTCCAGCACATGCCCTGCCCACCATCCCTCCCCTTTCCAGTATCCAGGCCCTTGAACCCATGATGTGTCTTGCCTGGAGGGATCTTTTGGGACTCCCTGCCACAGTTTCCCTTATTCTTCAGCCTGGTTCTCCTCACATTACCTTCTTTGTGAAAGACATTTACCTTCCAAGGGCTTGTCATTGATATTTCTGGGGCCTCCAGAGACCTTCAGGGCTGCAACAAGACATCCCATGGGCCATGCAGCTGAGCAAAGGCACTGTCTGTCAGCATCCCCAACTTCTCCCTCTCTGGACCTCTGTTCCTCTCTCACCTTCCCTCATTCCTCCTTTCTTCCCTGCTCCCTCCCTCCTTTCTTCACTCCCAGCTCCAGCACTTTCTTGCAAGTACCTTCCTCTGAGCTGAAACCAGAGGAGAGAGTCCAGCCTCTGGCATTTGCAAAGGCTCCTTGGGGTCCCTGGAGCACTGTGTCCATTTCACAGCCAGCTTCTCTAGAGGCTCCTCAGCAGCTGCTGCATCCCTTCCCACTCCTACGCCAGTCCTCCTTTACCAAAGAAAACACTGCTCTCCTGCCCTCCTCCTCCTTCCACCCTCTCCTGCCTTTGTAGCCAGAGAAGCAAGCTGCTAGGGCTCTTATCCCAAGGTCCCACTTTAAGGAAAACTTGCCAACCAGGAGGCTCCCTTGGGGATGCTTGGGCTAGAGGGGAGTCCTGCAGGTCCCAGCACTCAGGAGATGTGCACCATGATGAAGAGGCAGGCTGAGCACCTCGTATGCCTGTCCCACCTCTGACTTGTGTTCTATGTGCACACCATGGAGACTTGCATCCTTGGGGGTGGGTTCTCTGCTCCCAGGGGCTGGACCGAGAGCTCGGGCACCCAACTGCTGGGTCCACCATGGACCAGAAAGGCTGCCCACCTTCAGAAAGCAGCTGGGGTCTGTTGAGAGCAAAAGCATCTGTGTTTCCTTCCTCCAGTTTGACCTGGTGTGTGACAGGAAGGACCTGAACGACATCTCCCAGTCCATCTACATGCTGGGGCTTCTCCTAGGAGCCATGATCTTTGGGCCACTAAGTGACAGGTGAGGAAACACAGCCACCTTCCCAGAGTTATCAACCGGCACCCAGAGACAGCCCAGCTGAGAGTTCAGGATGTCCATGCACTGAGCATGAAATACTCCCTCCGCAGGACTCGATCACCTGGCCTGAGCAAGGGCATTTGGGGCCACCTGACATGTCTGTAGATGTCTGAGGGTTGAAAAGAGAAGGAGGCAGATACAGCCTTATGGGGGGTTGTCACGGATGGAGTGAGACTGCATTTCACTCGTAAGAGAGAAGCAACAATACTTTATTGATTGATAGAAAACAGTGAGTTAAAGTGTGAATTAACAAAGTTCAATGGTAAATGTGACAGTGAACAAGATTCCATGGCAAAGTACACTTGATTATCTACTGCATGGAGGACAGGGTCAGACAAAACTGTCAGGGAGACCCTCCCGTTGAGTCATGAGGTTCAGAAAGGA